TTCACTCACCCTTTGTTGAAAATTTTTTTGTTTATTGCTTTTTTCTCGGGAATGGAAGGGAAATCAAGGCAACACGCAGAGATACATGTTCACCATTGACGTCCGTCCTGAGCCAGGATATGCATGATCCCTAACCTGCGACACTGTATCTCTGAAATCCCAACCGGGGATTAGGGAACAACCGACCGAGGCCAACTGTTTCGTCGGCATTTTAATGTGGCTACTCCAAGCGGTAGGCTGTCCATTACGTCGTGTTCTCCACTCCTTTCCAGAAACCGCGAACAACGTCCGCTGCGGAAGACGATCAGCGGGCCTGCGCAGTACCTGTCCAAGCCACTGCAGCTGATGTAGGGGGGTAAGCTCCTCGAGCGATTGACTGCCACCGTTTAAGATACGCTGTCTAACTTTCATATTAGTTACGTGTTGTATGCACTAAACACTGGCAATGGAGTGTGAGCAACGGGGCTCGAAGACAGAGACTCGAAGCAGGTCAACGGTACGAACAGGCCGTCTCGCAAGCCCACAACAGTACAGCGCGGGTAGCAGCACAATAAGTCCACCCTTTGATGGAGGGACGGATGTCATGGCGGCTCCATAGGGGCCTCAGCTTAGAGAAACCGAGCTCTTGAGATACGCATCGAAATCTCCTCTCCAAGTGCTCTACCAACAGTGATACCGCTTCCAAGATAGAACAAACTCTCCATAACATCCAGTGCCTCACCATTAATAGTAAGTCCACGTACAGGCATCTGCCAGTCGTGAAAACGTGATTTACACTTGGATGGGGAAAAAGCCAAACTGTCAGTTGCAAGCTGCACGGCCCATAGATCGTCGCACAGTAAGTCAATATTATTAGCGGAGTCCAAGTCACCTACAGGGCTATGTAGAAGGACCACACGCCAGCGCTCAGCGAATCTTCCAGAGCATTTTTAAGGACATCGTCAGTGGAAACGTTGTAGAATAATGGGAAGATAGGGTATCCTCCTTGTACCCCACTGGTGACAGCGAAAGAAGGCGAAAGCTTGCCATAAACCCCAACTCTACCTGAGGTCAGACTATATACAGCATACGGTAGGGAAACGAACTTTTCTAAGACACCATTTCTCAACAGACAGTGCCGCGATGTAGTCCTGTCGACAGAATCGAAGGCACCAGGCAGCAAGAACGTGACAATTGTCTGCTTTTGGCGGAGTTCCAGGATCTGGCGGAGTGTGAAAATTGTATCGCTGCAGAAGCGACCAGAGAGGAACTTAGGTTGTTCGTCCAGCTGTAGTGATTCGCATGCTGGAGAGAGTCTGCGAAGTACGATGGACGTCAGTAGCTTTCAAACGACGGGGACCAAGCTGACACTTGTGTAGTTGGAACACATTGTGTGTAGGCCAGTTCGCCCAGGATAGTTCCGTCCGCAGTTTGGAGGGGAACGGGTTGCACACACAGTAATTGGGTTGCAGGGTGCGTTGGAGATCTTCGTCTTAGGCCTGGGCCGATGTCATGGCGGTGAGGTCGACAGTCGGCTAGGAGTGAAAAGTGTAGTTGACGCGTGAGAGAGCGTCAGCGACAAGGCTACGACATGTGAGACATGGCTTATGTCAGCAGTGAGCTGCGGGACAAGTTCTAGTTGTCTAGTTTCCTCTGCTGAATATGTGTCAGAAGATGTGTTAAAGGCGAAAATGAGAAGCTCGTGATCAGTGTAGACCACGAATACCCGACCTTTTAAAATGTCTCAGAAGTGACGGATAGCTAAGTAGATGATAAGCAGTTCTCTACCAAACGCGCTGTGGCGGGATTCCGTTGGTTACAGGCGTTTGGAGAAGAAACAGAGAGGTTGCCACTGCCGACTAGCGTGTTGGTGGAGAACAGCTCCTACCGCAACGTCTGAACCATCAGTTGTAAGAGAGCGAGAAGTAGTCGGTTCATAGCGAGCGAGGTGAGCTATGTTGGAGGTAGCATCCTTGAGCTCGGTTGAAGCCGTGTGTGCTGTATCGGGGAAAACGGAGTTAGGTTCTTTGCATCTAAGTAGGTCAGCCACGGGTTGCATAAGCTGAGCGCAGGCAGGACGTTGGCATCGATAGTGGTTGACTAGAAAACAAAATCGGCGGAGACGCTTAAATGAAGTCGGAGATGGATAATCTTTAATATCCATGACGTTGTCCCCAAGGACCTCGATACTAGACGTTGAATCGAGGTGGCCTAGGAATTCTACCATGGACTGGCCAAGTTCGCACTTAGTCGGATTAGTTGTGACACTGTGTTGGGTTAACCATTGAAATAGTAATTGAAGATGAACGAGGTGCCATTCGTTAGGGGAACTGGCGACAAGAATGTCGTCGAGGTGGGGCTAAGCAAAGTCCAGGCCACGAGCTGTGTCGTGCATAAAGCGTTGAAAAGTCTGTGCGGCGTTACACAGTCTAAAAGTTATTTTTAAAAATTCGGACAAGCTGAAGGGAGTGATGACAGCTGTTAGGTATGTTTTGTTCCTCGACAGCTATCTGACGATAGGCACAAACAAGTTTGCTCTTGCTGAAGACCGTCTCACCTGTAAAGCACGCAGGGATATTTTGCACGTGTGAGATAGGGTATCTGTCAGGGACCTTAAACGGTTTAGTGCCCGGTAGTTACTGCAGGGGTGTCAGTCTCCAGATTTTTCGAGATCAGCTGGAGTGGAGAGGACGAAAGACTATCTGTAGGACGGATTATTCCAAATTCGAGCATGTGCCCGAACTCCGCCCTGGCTAACTTTCTTTTCTCCTGCGAAAGTCGGCGGTGGCTTGATGAGAGGAGTTGGCTGTTTGTACAAGTATGATGTGTGACTTGAGAAGCTACGGGAAAAGCTGCTTTCATTGCCTGAAGGAGCTTAGGGTAATGAGAGCAAAGATCGGAGTAACCGGTAGAGGTCTGTGGGCGAACGTAAACCGGGGTGATGACTGAGTTCCCGTACTTGGTGTCAGTGACGTTCAGCGTCGTTGCGGGATCGACTATCTTCATTTGTTTCGCATAGACTGAGAGGTCCAAATGTCTACGGAAGTCCATGCCGATAATGGCACACGCAACAGCCGCAATAATGAAAACCCACCGAAATGTTCCACGGAGACCTAAGTTAAACTGCTTTGGCTGTAAGTAGGGTTGAATGTGCTGTTGGCTGCACGAAGACAGAGTAGACGCGGGAAGAACTACCCTTACTTCAACCCTGGTATCAAACTGGAACGCATTTCCAGTTTTTCAGTCTTGAACGTAAGGGAGGCTACTGCCGGAGATGTGGCCGGTGACGTTAGTGGTAGGTTATTTGAGACCCGGAAGTTTCACCGATTGAATTGAGGGGAAGTTGCAATGCGTAGTACATCGCTTCTATTGCAGGCCAATGCAGCCCTGAAACCAGCATAGTTTGTTGCATAGTAGAATGTTGGGCTTATCCGACTTCCTCATAGGTACCAGTGACTTAGCGAACGTTGCAGAAGAATCGGAAGCTGCGTAATGTCACAACTTCATAAAGTACCACCATAAGCTCGGAGTGATTTGAAGTAGGGACTGCATGATATCTGCATGAAGTAGGTAGCCGTTGAGATGCGTTTGGGTTATTCAGCGGATATATAGCGGGTGGCGTTGTGCAATTTATTTCCTTTGGAAGATGGTTTATGATTGCACTAGGCAGTTGCTTGGCTAGAATGAGGGAAGAAACCATGACGGATATGACGATAGCTTGGGTTATTTCGGGTAGGTGCTGCCGACATAGTTCCAGAAAGATGGAGTACTTCCTTGAGTACGAACGGAGCAGTTTCTTCGTCGCGCTAAATAGGGCGGATGGCCTCGTATCTCCCAGACGCAAGCCATGGAAGAACTGTTTGATTCGCGTATCTACTGGTTGTTTCAGTCGGGTCTCGATATCGTGCTGAAAAGACTCATAAGAAAGATCGATATTTGGGCTCGATAGGGTGTCTGCGTTGTTAAGTCTCTAAAAAGGTTACCTATTAAAGGACAACATTTAGATTGGTCGGGAATAATATTATGACGCACAGACTCATACTCTGGCAAGACGAACCAAAAAGGCTGGTCATCAAACAGGACCAGGGGTACAGACAGTGATGCAACATTAATAACTGAGCCAAAAATATTAATATCTGTATGAGCCATAGGGTAACACAAAATAATAGTTGCAGGAAGGCAATCCAGAAGATAAAAGGAATGAGCTCACCAAAATTGTTTTCGGTGATGGCGCAACCGTGCTCGCAGTCGGGGTCACCAATTCTGTGGTGCTACTCAGATGCTAGTCGCAAGAGTTGTCACGTAAGAGGAGTGCCGGATGCGGATCTAAGCAGAACAGTTAACTTGTCTGGACCCAACGTGTATAGACAAAAGCTAAAAAGCATGGAGGGCAGGTAAGCAGAGTCAGACAGAAGTATATAGCGTGACTGACCAGGGGAGCAAATGCTTGGTGTGTAGTATCAGCCAAACAAACGGATGATAGAAAGCCATGAACAAGTATAAAATCCAAGTTCTCAAAATACTGAAAGCGTGAATGATTCATGTTCAATACAGCATATCTTAACCAGTAATTTTAAAATTAACAAAGCAATATTAAATGGACCTTTTGGTTTACAACGGAATACCCAACGTGGCCATCACGTACTACTGTTGGTGAGTCAGCGTTCTTTTACCAGAAAGTAGTATATTATCTTTCGTAGGTGGACTTTACGGAGTTAATGTGCATACTCTGACTTTCGTGTTCCAATTAGTCCGACTTGAATGATAACACATTCCTATAGCGAGTCTGTTTGTCGTCGTACAGGAGCACTAGCCGGAATCGAGGCCAGTGTTAAGCTGGGAAGTTTCACTTTAGCTTGGTTATATCCGACCACCTAGATGAGGTCAAACTTTTGCGAAAACGATGATTGACTACATTTTTGTAACTGATTGCTTGCTTATGAGCAGGATGAAAGCAAGCACCACGAAGGAAACAGGTTCAGTCAATATTTTTCTATATACTTGGGTTCTGCCCGCAACAGATGGTAGAGGAAGCGGTTCAAGCAATGTGCATGCGGTTGGCAGCGGCCGTGGCACGTGTACGGGTACGGAATCAAGTTGGTTCACTGCGCCTTCTTTTGCCGGAAGAATGGAGAAGTTCTGAGCAAATGGCCGAAGTGATGCCGACTTATGGTTGGTATAATCAGTTGCTGGGAAAGTGAGTTGGTTGCACTTTGCTATTAGTCAAAACAATCATTACCACTTTTGGATTTGAGCAAATGCATGTGCTTATCCGGGAAACTCAACTTGACCTTCTCCAAGAACCGCCACTTCCGCATTATCGGGAGAGAGTCACAACTAATGAACGCAAGCAACACATTTACGTTTTGGTGGAAGAGCGGTGTTAGTCCACTGCTTTATCTAGGAGCATTCAGAAGCTTCAACTCACCAATCTTCTCTCTGTGATAGTGCATATCTACTTGCATCCTTAGATAGGGTAGATAGTTCGATACTGAAACCTATTACCGAAGTACGACATCTTGCACCGCGAGCCCGCAACAATGAACAATGAATTTATACGGGTTAAGAAGCGCTGCTTTACAAGTCCCGTTGGATAGTTGCAGGGGATATCAACGTTACAATAATGATGATAAGGATAGTAAAATAGTTAATACTTTAAATATGAAAATAAGGACTTATCGTTTGCTTCGCTGCAGTCCTGCGATCCTCTTAGATTCACAACACCCACAGGTAACAACCGGCGAACCATATTAGGGAACTGTAGTATAGAATGGGATTACTGTTAGTACACTGCACTTTCAATTAATCAGAGAGGAGACAGTAAACAGCTAGATTTTGGACACCCTCAGTTGTGCGTTTCATCACTCACCGAAGCTCCACATCATCCTCTTTATAGTGTTGTGACATGCATGGAGTACAGAAGTGGCCAATTGATAAGGGTAATTGTAGAGGGGGTAAAGAGTTTTGATGTTAACCCTCCACTGCTTCGATTATTAGACCGACAAAAGTTACATCATCAGGTTTGGCATCAGCGTTTACTCCCCTCTATATTTGTTCTCTTTCTGTTGTTGGTCAGAGGTACATGTTCATTCTTTGAGGCCTACAGCAACTTACCGAGAGAAGAATGGTGGCCACCACAGTTACCGGCAACCAGCGACTAGTAAGACCATGTCATTGACCTAGGAGAATGGAGGTGCATCCGTAAAATTGGCTGCTGGTGACGTCCTAGTTCACTTGATTACAAGACTACCCCTGTCGCCTCACTACAAAATCAAAGGGCCCTAGAATACCACACAAACGACTGGGAAGTTAGTGCGTAGCTGGCATAAACTACGCAACGGAATTGCTTAGGAACTATGCCTAAAGACAGTCATTATAAAACCACTGCTATCCGACGTCATCCAGAAGTCAACACGACCCGAGACCAAATCTAACCACAATAGGGACTTCGAAAACCAAGCTTTCAAACCAGTAGTCGTTGAGAACGAATTGGAGACATATCAAGATTTGGGGTTGTTCTGTTCACCGGAAAACCATCCAAAACGATTAGGTACCGACCTCTCATCCATCAGCACACTTTTACCTCATTTATGCTCTTATCAAGCGATACTGGAGTCCAAGGAGCTGTTCTTTAAGCGCACCAACGCTCAGGGCTTAGTTAGCAAAGTTTCCGAAATGCGATTTAGTCAAATATCGGAGGCTGTAGTCTCATCGCCATAACGGACACATGGTTGCGCTCCGACATAAGTGGCATCAAGTTCGCGTTTCCAGGCCTGTCCGTCGTTCGGCAAGACGGACCCAGTAAAGGGGTGGAGTTGCCATTTACTTCCGTATTGACTTCCAACGTGGGCCCATAGAGGAGGTGCAAGATTACTTTGGGGCGGTCTATGTGTTGAATACTGCCTCTTGAATACGTCAGGTTCTAACAATGTGATACCAACTCTCCTAGACGGATGAACGAACGAGACTCAGAATTATTTCTCGCACGGCACGGTAACTGACAATCTCGAAGTCTGTGGGTTCCCGGAACTTAGCCGCGAAAGATTAATTCACGCGAGTCGAACGGGTTCCTAGACCGAACGCAAAGTTCTACGCACGATTTCCCAACCCAAGACTGAATCAAGAACAAGACAGGCCTTTGCCACAGGCGCTTTTACTGGCCAAAGCTAAGGCGATTCTAGCGTTGTACAGCCTCATTTTTATATCACGAAACGGTGATGAAGGGGGGTTTTTCCTTGGAAGGGTTTGAGTAAGCAAACCCTGGAAACAAGAAACATGGTTTTATGTAAATGTGCAAAGTCCGTAAACTGAGCAGAAATGTTGGAAGTTTGGCGAGAGTTGTCCGGAAAAATGAATGTTGCTTGGATACAACAATGCGTGTTTGGTTGGAAACAAGACTGTTTCTGGGTGCAAAGGCCAAACAATGTGCATGTTACACGAGTTGGAAGGCTGATTGAACGTGTGCGTTTTGTCTGCTCTGAGTGCATGTGCACTTGAGTGAATCGGGTTTTCAGCCTTCCGTAATTTAAGCCTTTAATAATTATAGGGACGTTGGATCCCCATAACACTATGTTTGAGAGACAACGCCGCTTAATGATGACTATCTTTTACCGCTCTCCATCTTCAACTCGCAAGGTGGACTTTAAACTGGCATCCGAACTGGGGCACGTACCAAACAATACGAATAGTCACATTCTTATCACCGGCAATTTCAACATCCACACTGTGGAACCCCAATCCAAACCTGCAGAACAGTTCAAAGCAGATTTGCATGAGCTCCTCGACAGTTTTCCGATTTATGTCACAAAAGCACTTCCACCAGCTTCAGAGAACTAGACAGGTCATCCATACTGGATCGGGTATTCGCGACCAACCAACTGTGAAGATAACTGATAATACTCTAGGCCGCGGAGATCATGCAAGCTTGCTCTTCAGGCGCACCTGCTATGCAGAATACGCCAAGGGGAATACCCAAGCGGCGCAGACCGTAACTTGCTACGACACGTCAACTAGGCTAGTTGAAACGACTAACTGAAGTTTCTTAACCGTGAATACACTAGTTATTGCCTGGGAAAGTATTGTCAGCAATTTTAACACCTTGGTTGTTGGTACATCGGAAACCAAAGCAATCCATTCGGGCAACATGGTCTCGAATATATATATATATATATATATATATATATATATATATATATATATATATATATATATATATATATATACAAATGTCTAGCGGGCCATGAGCTATGCCATTAGGGGCCACTACAGAAGCGACGACGGGTCCTACAGAGAATTACGGCGAGCCGGCACAGCGTTTGTAGGCACGCTGAATTCGATTTACTAACCGCGTGATTGCATGCTAAGTCTCTTTATTTCAGGTGGTGGGTTTACAGTTTTTACCTTAATGCTTTTCTTTCTCATATAAATATCTCCCTGTACTCTATTCCATTAACTTGCACACATCGCCTAAGCCTATTGTATTCGATTTCCATAACATTTTTGAGTTCGTGGCATTCCGTGAACTATACTTTCTGACCTCGTGCACTTAGCTAGGATTTGTTTATAATCAACTTATTACATATGCTATTTAATTAAGGTTTAAATCACCGTTTCCTTATGCATTAATCGAGTTTTTCTTTTTTTCTTTCTCTCTTTCAAGTGTTTGACTGTTGTTTGATATCCCCGGTGTGGCTGAGGTTGATGTGCATGTTGACAAGGTGCCTACCTGTATATTACCCACTACCTCGTCCATACTGGCTCTAGGAGACAGTTGGTCGTTGCTGGAGGGGACGGAGTGCACGGTCCTTGTGGACGTGTTAGGATCAAAGAGTGGTTACATGCAGTCAGTGAGGAGCGGACTACGGTCCAGCCACTGCTTTGTGTGCGCTTGATTCCCAACTACAGCGTGCTTGTGTTTGCCTGTGAAGGAGTGTGGGCCGGCTCCATTGATGTAACGTGGTTCCCATCCGCATGCCTGCCGGTCTTATTCCTTCGGGTTTACACTGGATATGGGGAGTGTGGTTGGAGCTGTGGGTGATGCAGCGCAAGCCATCCATGGTCCCTCTGTAGGCGCAGGCGTCCTGTGGCTTGCCACAGTGACAGGCAAATCCGAAACCGGATGCCGCCAACCATATATATATATATATATATATATATATATATATATATATATATATATATCAGAGGCGTAACACACGGAAGTGATCCTCCCCCGACGGCATGGGATAAGGGGCGACATTTTTAGTACCGTTAATTGATCTATTACAAATATAAAGGACTAAATTACCAAGTAAACTGTTTGCTGCATATTTTTAGGTTACTCAGCACGACCAACACCACCTTTGCACCATGTGTCACACCTGTGTGCAAACGTTCTCTTCCCACCGAACCCCTTGCATGTCCCATGGTGGTCAATTGCATCACATTTGCTTCAGTGTCTCAATCGATGGTCCATTTCATTGGAAAGCAATTTTGCATTTACTCTGAGCTGGTTTTGAGGCTTTATGGATTTGCAAACTGCCGGCGAGGGGGGTCGAAAGTTTTACTACTATCCCGAGCGACAAATTAAGTTGATACGCTAAAGCTGAGGCTCAGCTTTTGTATTCGTTCCAGCTAGCACCACCTATTGAATTCACGATCGATTTGCTGTACGACAGTAAATCCGAGCCGGACAAGCATAGTGAGGATTTCATGGTCCATCTTAACAGATCACTGACATGATATGGGGGTTATTATGCCAACATGTGGTCGTATTTCCAATTCCTCAACTTCGCTCGAATCCACTGCGTCACCTTTACAAACATCTCCCGCTGCATCCGTGTTGACAATGCCGCTTTCACATGTCCGAATATCAACGTTTGCACTACCACTTTCATCTTCGCTCTCAGTATGATTATCTCCCTTCATTTTTACCGATTCAGGCATGGAAGTAGTTTTGATGAATGTACACTTGGTATTGAACAATCCGTGCTAAAAATGTCGCTCCATGTCACTGCCGCGGTGGCGGACCGCTCCCCTCCCCCCGTATGCTACTCCTCTGTATTGATGGAAGCAAAAAATACTGAAGCTCTACTGGCGTACTACTTACAGCAATTTGAAGCGCATTCCAACCGACAGGACAGAAGGAATGTGTGACAGGAGTAAGCAAAGCTTGGAGCTGGTAAGTAGGTACAAAGGGGAAGGTGGTGCTGTTTATTC